AAAATAAGTTTTTAAGATAATTTTGAGCTTTTAAGATAATTTTGAGCTTTTAAGATTGAATTTTGAATGACTTGAATTAATTGATAATGAAGAAAGTAAGTTTAAAGATGGTAATATGTTATGGTATTGGTAAAGCAAGTTTCATTACCATTAAAAACGGTTGATAGCCATTATCAAAAAATCATCAATTGATATGAAAGTGATAATTTTTTTTCATTACCATTTAAAACGATTACCATCATTTAAGTGCGGTACGGTTATCATACCGTACCATGCCTAGCCCTATGGCTACTGCATTCAATAATAAAAAATTGGTATATTTACCTATAATAATTAGGTTTGAAAAATCTTAATACCTATTATGGCTAAATGGGATCCTTTGTTGTTTGACATGGCGTTGTGATTCTATGCTACTGGTTGAAAGAATAGAAATTACGAAGCTGGAGAGTACATTGTTTTTCGATATAGGGCAAGAAAATGCTAGTCTGGAATAAAAATAACTACAATGTTTTTTTTATCATTCTTTGTAACTTAAAAGAGTGGAACTGTGGAACAGTGGAACAGTGGAAGGGAGAGGAGAGAACTCAGAGAAGACTATTCTGACTAATTAAATTAAGAGATTAATGTTTATTAGTCGGAGTTATAAAAAATTAGGTAAAAAATTTTTAAAATTATTTTGTTTTAATAAAGTATAATAAGAAAAAAATTAAAATATCTTTATTTTTACTTTTAAAATAATTAAGATGTTTTAATATTTTCTAATAAGATTTTATTAAAATTAAGTAATTTTAAAATATTTTTTCATTTAATTTTTTATAATACAAATTTATTTATTTTTTGTTAAATTAAATCCTTGGGTCAAAATCTTAATTTAATTGAAAGAAATATTCTTTACTCCCTTGAGCATTAAAGAAACTTGTAATTCTCAATTTTGCTCATTCAAGCTCACTAAAGATTCACCAATTTAATTCTTTCGAAATTTCCTATCTGTATTTGAAAAGCAGGAGCTAGCCAGACAGATTTTTTAGTACTACTTCTAACTTTTAAATTTAACTTTAATTTTAAAATTGAGTTTTTGCAATTAAATTTCTGAACCTAATTAGTTTTATTAAATAAATAATAAAATTTCATGATTCCTTTTAAACAATTTTCCTTAAAATAGTTAAACACTAACTTTTTTTTTTTAATTAAAAAACACTTTTACAAAATTTATTCATACCAAAAATAACCATTTTTTGGTAACAAAAAATTTTATAAACATCAAATTCAAATAATAATACTATAGAAAAAATAAAAAAAAGGCCGACTAAACTCCGACGGGCGTTGTAAAAGAACTCCCGGTTGTGGGCTGTAAATCCCAAATTAAGCTCAGTTCGTAGTGGCAGTAGGCCTCCTAATTCTTATGCAGCAGCTGAACCGTAACAATTTAGGGCAAACAATTTCGCGCCTTCCCAGAATGAATTCGCCGGAAATTCTCTCGTAGGAGACCTTTGCTGAGGTATATGCACTGAATGTCTATAATTGTTCATGGCAAGCAGCTTGAAAATAATGGCTTATAAATTATATAAGAATAATAATTATGGTAGGAGAGCTTTCAACTGCACCGTAAAAAGTTCAGCAACTGCTCCACGAATTTCCATCTGAACAACGAGAAGGTTAGGATCACTTAGATTAATTGTGAGAGAAAAGGTGTATATGAGAATATAAATTTTGTTATTTTTTAAATAAGATTATAAATTTTTAATTTTTTTTATTTAAAGATACAAATTCTGTATTTTTTTTATTTAACAATTAACTAGATGGTTAAAAAAAACCATTTATCACATCAATATTATTATTCAATTAATTTTTAAGAAGAAAAAAATGCAAAATCAACATTTTAAAATAAAAAAATTAAAAATTTATCGTTTTACTTATAGAAATTGACAAATTTTACGTTTTTAAATAAAAAAATGAGTGTTTGTATCCTTATCTGCAACTCTACTCGATTAATTGCAAATAAGTCACTGAAAGGAACATCAAAAGATTTTACACCTAACTACTGAAATACACAAAATAACAACATGAATGGCATGCAAACACGAGGAAGATTTACCTGGTCACAACATACGAGTTTTGTAAGCAACGGGTAGAACTCTCTCAGGTGTTGCCTGAAAATCTTCTTGTTCATAAAGCACATGCCTTCCAGCACCTGAAGGAACAAACGTGTTTGTTGTTATGAAAGCAAAGGCATCATGCATCGATAGAAATAGCACAAAATATGTACTTCATTTTCTAGAACATATTACAGGGGAAAATTCCATACCCTAACAATGATTGGAGAGCGCAACTCCAGAACTCTATGAACATCCATGTTAGTAGTTTCCCCAACACTGGACTGGAGATCAAATGCATCCTTGAGTACTTGTTCACAGAAAGATACCAGTTTCCCTTCTGCTATTCCTTCTATCTTCTTTTCTGCATCAGAGAGTTCATTGAAGCTTGAATCATTGCTTTCTGAAGAAATTTTATCATCTTTAGAGCCAGGGGATTCTAGATGTTTTTCATCATTGTTAATAAATCCTGAAGTTGTTTTCTGTAAGATATCAAGATATATGGAGGTTCCTGCTAACTCCTGGCGAATAATATTTAGAGGCGGCCTGTGAAAGACATATATTAAGATGATGAGAACTTCTACCGAGCAAAAATTTGTGAGCAAATAAGGCTGAGGGTAGAAGTTTTACGTGATGATAATAATTGTGCTCACCTTTCAGCAGGAATAAGGTGCATGCGCATTCTCAGGTTAGAATATGAATTATAAGAAGCAGCAAACTCTAACAAGGAATATAAGATATCCATTATGGCAATCTTCTGTGGCACTTTCAAATTACTCCAATGCTTTTTCTGCAAATTTAAAACATTTTAATTAGAAAATGAAATAAATTATCAGACACACACCACTAAAAAATTAAATAAAAATGTACTGCTAATATATCAGTCTAAGAAAAACAACATTCATGAAGAACTAGAGCCACACCTGAATGCTATCAATGGCACCAAGAAGCAATAATTGAGTGATACACTTGCTCCTAACAGTTCCCATCAACAGACTTTCCTCATCTCTGGTATCAGGTTCAACACACTCAGGAACCTATCATAACAATAATTATAAAAAAAATAGTAATAATAATATAGAAAGAGAAAAAATGCATTTTGGTGTCAATAAATTACTAAAATAAGGCATAAAATTCCCTTTTTATATCTTTTTCACTTGAACTTGATACAAATTAAGAACTGAACCTGATACCAAAGCACAGGCAAGAAATCACAATTCACTAACCTTGGTTGGAGAAGAAGGTATTGAGATCTCTGGTGTAGGATTCTTAGATTTTGAGGTGAGACTTCTGAGGAAGAGGTTGTCCATCATATTTCCCATAAATCTTTGGCCAATAGTTTGACTTCTTTGTAGGCCCCCAGCTTCAGCAGCTTTCTGAGATCGACCCGATGGTGATGGAATACCTACATTTAGAACAATACTGCATTATTAAGGTTGTAATAAATGCATTTATTATCTAGCTTGGGCTTCTTCAAAAGTAGCATAGAGGTACACCCTTAGTTGCAGTATAAAGGGAAAGTAGATTTTTGGGATGTTACCACCCCAGCATAAAACATCATCAATTGTTTAGGAGTACGAGGCAACTTGCTTCTGAATAATATTGAAAGTTAACTATACAACTTCTCAGTTGTTAAAGTTACTCAATTGTCATCCTACGAACATATCTCTAGATAGTTTATTTTTTCCCTTTTTGGGAGAGGGAGCGAGGGAGGGAGAACCAACCTTCAGATCCATCCATATTAGACTGCAACCCAAAATCTTGATTGTGTTCCTCTGAGACAGATGCATTAATAGTACTTGAAGTGGCATTATCACTAATAGTTGGGTGTGCTGGCTGAGAAATTTTTCCATTATCACTTTTATCAAGCTGATGAGTATCTACTCCACCATCTGTATGAACTTCTAAATCTCTAATTACAACCGAGGGGTTCTTTGGACTATCAAAACCCAAAGCATTGAGCAGCTCAAGTGGTTGTGTTGTGTATGATGCTTCTCTGGTGATAAAGAGCAATAAATATGATTGGTTGTAACATAATTACTAACGATTTGAATTTCAAACAATTAGTCTCTTCTAGTTACATGAGATAAGCACCTTATGCTCTTCAGCAGCATATCCCAGTCACTCTCACTGAACTGGTGTCCTCCAACCTCTATGAGATGCACTAACGCACCCAGAGAAATTGAAACGACAGTCTGATCTGTTTGTTTAGCACAGTCCAACAGCAAACTCAAGAGTGGCGGTAACATAAAGCATACATCCTGCATGAAAGAAACAAGACAATAAGTTCATTTAAATGCTACCACCCATGTATAAATTCTTTTCTTCCACCATTTATTGACTTATCCTTTTCTCAAATTGGAGGGATGAGACAATTAGACAAAGGAAAGAAGCCAACAATAACCTCCTAATACCTTGTAGAAAGTGTTAAAAAGGTTGCATAGCAACTGGAGCGAGTGAATGCTATTCTCACGTAGCCATTCATCCCCAGAAGAAATTGAGCTTTCCTTTCCAGCATCTCTCACATTATCAAAAATGGGAAAAAGAACACGATGGAAAATGCTCTCCCAAAAAGATGTTGAGAACTTGCTACCCCTCTCATTCAACAAATCAAACAAAACTTCAAGCGCACAGCTTCGGACTTCAGGTCTATGATCTGATGTTAGGTCAGACAAACCAGCCAGCATTGGGAACCAATAATGCTCAGTTACATCAAAAGTTGTGTCAGCAGCTATATCAATTGGCTTCAGAGCCCCACCAGGTAGAAGCCCCTGAAGTAAATAGCAATGTTAAAGTAATTAGCATGAATGTTCTGTAAACAAAGAAACAACCCAGTATAACTAAAGCGATTCTTTCACATTTTTTTGAAGTAAAGAATGAGAGAAAAAGGTTGAAATAATTGATTCACTTTTCAGCTGAAATGATGGCAAAATTTCAGGAAATCCAATAATCAAGTTAGAAACTATAGAGGCCTTGAAATTCTAGTGCTGAATGCCACATGTATACAGAATCATGTATTATAAATTACTAAAACTTCACTGAAACTCACAGTTATGTCTCTCACAAAATGGTATGGGATTACATGGATGCAGTGCCCTAACTGACAGATGACATGCTCAATTGACAAATAAACCTGAAGGTTAAATAAAACCAACCTCAGCTAGACGATCTTCACATATATGGAGAAGTGCAATGGCCTTCAAACTTATACTATGGGAACATTTATTATTAGCAAACCGGATAAGGCAATTGATGCAGTCCATAAAGCAATCTCCAACTACCTGATCGAAGTGTTCTAATGTAACTGCAAATATTCTGGTGTTAATTTAATTGAGAAAAAAAAAAGAAAGGAACCTATCTCCTAGAAGAAAAGAGTAGACTAATACCCTGTTCAACATTCTCAAATGCACTTTCAACAATTGACTCTAAATCATCATCTGCAGCAGCAGTGAAAATCATAAAAACACTACGCCATCCAGACTTTATGTTTCCAACTTTGGATTTTATCATCTGCAAAAGACATCAGATAATCGAACTCCAATGAAAACCCAATAGCAATGCATAAAGTGACATTTGAGGTTTACAATAGAAAATTGATAAACCACAAAAGAAAATGAGATAGATAGGACTAAGATTTGGGAAATTTGAGTGATTGTACATACTTGAACAATGCAGTCAACTATTAGATGCCTTTTGGTCTCACTTCGACTATTCCGCATGAGAACAACAAAAGGTTTGAGAATATCATTTTGAAAAGTGAAATTGGCCAATTCAGCACGCTCCAAATACTTCATTCCAAGCTGCCTGAGAGAATCTATTGCATACATAGCAATTTTCTCATCATGATGACTCCCAGCAGAAATGAAATGATTTGCTAGGACAGACCATATTCTAGCCCAAACCTGGTAGATATATCAGTTAAAATCTTAAAACATAATCATCAAAGAGTAGTTGGAACAAGAAAGCAACAGAATCACTTTATGGCTTTATGTGCATGTAAAGACTTGTCATGCAAGGTCAAATTGCACAACTGAACTTTTCAACAGCATCCAGCCAACTCAGCAACAGTTGGGCTAAAAGAAATACCATTCGTATACGAGCTATATTGTAATAGCTGATCTCAACAAGCTTTTGCAAACTGAAAACACGAGCCGGAGCTTGTTTCAGCTCTTCAGCTGATACACCACAAAGTGCATTGAAGAACTCCACAACAGATTCACTGGGTAGTTTGACACTATTCACAAAAACTTGTTCAGCAGGTTTCCCTGCCAACTCTTTCAGGGACTGAACAACAGCATCCCTGGAGATCTGATTTGATCCATGCATGACAGATGCAGCAATAGCAGGGGTTGTAGTAATGAATTCAAGACGAGAAACACATTCCAGAACAGCATTCCATGTGTCTTGAAGGGAGTCTAGATCTAACTCACATAGATTCAGCAGAGTACGCAATGCTTCCACATTTTTACTATGCATTTCCTTTGGTGCGTGCAAGAAAGTAAACCTATAATACAAAATTTAAAAGAGTATATATCAATTCAAACAAGGATAAATAATGCTTGCAACATAAGCAATACAAAAGGTAATAACAAAAGAACAAGTAGGACAATAAAGCAAAGCAAAACAATAGAAAATGAAAACAGAAATCCTCATGAAAATGATGACCAACTGGGGAAATTTTCTGGTGCCCCAAACAAGAAAAATTACCTGACCAGTGACGTTAAAAAAGCAAAGCGCATGGTATCCATTCCCAGAACATGTGTAATATGTATTCCAGCTTTAAATCCTTCCATACAGAGAACAACTCTTGGTTTATTCTCACTTTCCTCCATAGTAACAGAGAAAGTAGCAAGCAATGGCCATCCAACTGCTTCAACCATGGGCCGAACAATTTCAATCTGTTTTGAAGTGTAGAAAACTCCTCTTTTTGCTCCTTGGTTCAGAATTATAGCTTGTGTCTGTTTAATAATTGCTTCACTCTCTGACTTAGCATCATCTGTAGATGACTTTGTCTTGGGGAGAGCCAGATTAAGAATACTAATAAGACGGCCTCTCTCTTCACCTTCTGGTTTCTGTCTGCTGCTTTTTCCAATACCAACTCTATCCTCTTTCATTTTTATCTCTTCTTTCACAATAGAATTATAGATCTCTTCAAGGAGTTCCGCAGGGGCACTATCCTTGGGATCATTTGTGGCATTCATGTGTATAAAATCTGATTTTGACATTTTTGGCAAGACCATAGGGTTATGTGCATCAGTATTTAACATTATGACTGCATATGCAAGAACATATGCAGTGTCAGCATTCTTGAAAAGACCTGGATTATCTGCACAATATCTGTCACACAGAACAACACAAGACAAAATGACCAGCTAGTAAAAATTCTAATACTAAATTAAACCAAGATTATTTTGCGAAACACCCCCACAATGACCTATTCAAATAACTGAGAGAAGAGTGTTTGCCTAGCATTTCAAATAGAGAAAGACAGTAGTTATTGCTTTCTCAGTTAGCAATATTGGTCTCAGATGCATGAAAAATCTGGATAGGATTTAACCAAGTCTTGGGAAGGCTCTAAAAAATTGTACGGTTCCATGGAGAGGATTTTAAATTTTAGGGCAGAGGCCTCTAAACATTTAAATCTAAGCTAATAGATAAAAATAGCTAGAGGATATCTCCAGGATTTTTACTGCAAGTACAATGGAAATTTGTTCAACATGTGTTAAAATTTCTTGATTTAATGAAAGAAAAAATGGCATGATCTGCAGATAATTGGCACAAAATCTAGCATTTTGGGCTAAAAATGAATCCTTTCCAGCATATTCTCACATGCTTTTTTCATCATATTTATGTTTACTTGAGAACTGACAAGAAAATATGCACATGGCAAAGAACTGCCATACCGTTCTGCAAACTTTTCCATGATCCGATCTATCTTTTGCGCCTCTCCAGGAAGCCTGAATCCTTTAAGTAATTCACGAATTGCAGTATCAAACTTCATTCCAGAAAATTTCATTGAATCCACATAAGCATGCATGACTGCAAGGGGAAACTCCTCATGTTGGCCCAAATAATCACCGATCATTGCCTGCAAGATCAGAAAGAGTTACAAGAGTTTCGTATGATTGTTGAAACTATAGTTGTATCAGATTAAGCATCCTACCTTATCTAGACTGGGAGTATTTCTTAGAAAATGAGCAACAGAAGCAGGATTGTTTTCCACCAATTTATTTGATATCAGATGCTCTACACCCTTTACTGGATTCCTATTGAACTGTGACATGAGAGAACCATATGTTACAAACTATTCATATTCTGTGAAATCAACAAGGAAGGATTGAACCATAATATAAGACAATATTGTTTGAATTACAAAAACCTAGCATACTGACAGATCAAACTGTAAATATAAAACTTGACAATTACCTCAGAGATGGCAGCTTCTGTTGTAGTTTTATGAGCTTTTGCCTTCTCAAAATTACTGGTTACATCTTCCCTCCCGCTCATCTCAACAGATTTTCTAGTTAACTCTTCCTCCAGAGATTGGCTGTTTTGCCCCAACTTTTCTGATTCTCTTCGAGACCTCTCCCAATCAACCAGTGATTTCAGCACGTTAACAAGGCACTGAAGAAGCAAGCAAGAAAGGTTCATCAAATATCTTCTGCTTATATAATCAGAAAATGTAGCACAAAAAAAGAGTAGTTAGTTATCTGACTTGAGGATGTTAACAGTAGATAAACATACCTGAAGAGATGAACCCTTAATTGATGTTGTCTGGGATACAGCAACAGAGTTTGGATCTGCATTTTGTGTCCCTTGAGCTATTTTAGATAGAGTTGTAACCTAAATGGTCACAAGGCAAATGATAATCATAGCATAAGAGAGTCTTGAACATATTTAAAAAAATAAACATTATTTATAAGAAGTAACTACATCCATACCATGCGTTCAAACAGGTTTGGTGCCTCAAGATCACAGTCATAGTTCACATATATGTCAACAAGCATCTGAGGATCCTTGGAAACTTTCTCCAGCATCCTGCAAACCTACACCTGATTAGAGATAACAAAAGAATGACCACATGCTGAAAGCCAAGTGATATAAATATAACTCCACAGGCTGCCACTAGTTGCAAGACTTAGATCAATTAGAACAAAATAGTACCTAAGAACACTGATTTTTTTATTGATTGGACATTCTGAGCTATCTAACGACCGCAGAACTATCAAGGGAAAAAAGACACCAATTTCACCCTGAAAGGAAGAACAGTTGAGATAAAGCACAATAAAATAAGAACCATACATCTAAAGAAAACAGCACCATCTCAGAAAGAGCATATACAAATCTATCAAGATCACATTCATACTTTAAGACTTTCTCTAAATTGCAACAGAAGCACAGAGAAGATCCCAGTAGCATACTGCACCAAAGAAATGCATAATCAGAAGCAAATTCCCATGGCACTTATTGTAAAACCAGTTGAAGAAAGGGGAAATAAATTGATGAAAAAGAACCTGAAATATGACAGGAGACTGTGAAACTGAAGCTCGCAACAAAGCGTAGGAAAGGTATGCTTTCACAGAGTCAATAAAATGGAAGTTCTTTGTAAGTGAATCACCAACCCCTTCCAGCAGGCCCTGCAGCACCATTTAAAAATTACCATTTGCAACTGAATATCATACAAGATAAGACTTGTTTGAAGAGAAAACACAATTTGGCATGATAAGATTCCAGGTGATAATCTAAAAAATAATCGATTTAATTTAAACATTTCAGACATACTAATTCCAAATCTCAAAGGTAAGGAATATTCAAACCATACACACTAATAATAGAGATAAGAACAAAAAATGGTATCCTTTTAATGGAGAAACACAGAATTAACACTTGTTGGGCTGAATTTGAGCAGCTAGGCAAGGACTCCATTAGCATTGTGTTAGACTACCAACCAAAGCATACTCATAAAAGCAGAGAAAAATTCATAAAACTAACCTGCAAAAGTTCAAGAGACAAAATTCTTGTCTTCACCGTTACCTCATCAGTGTCTTCCTTCATACCCATCTGCAGAAATTATATTGCAGTACAGGAATCATGAACAACACTAAAAAAATTCAAGGAAAATGAGAGAACTGTAGCAAAACCAACCTTGCAAAGTGTGCGGAATACAAGCAAAGCATCACGTTTTCCAATGCTCATACTTTCAAGGTCAATCCCACTTAAGAAGTCTCAGAGTTGTAGAAAGTATTAGTTATGGTACCAAACACCCAAAAAATTGAAATGAAAAAGAGAAAAAGGAAATATCAGCCTGACAACATGAAAGTAGAATTTTAATCATTTGCCTACCGTGTAATCTTTTTACCATCCTCAACATGCACCACCTTGTCAAGTGCAGCCTCTAAACCCTATACACGATGTAAATGTACCAAGATATGAACATGATACACTCCATCAAAGAAGTAACGTACAGAAAAGCAAACTTATAGAACCAAACACCCAGAATAGGGTACATAGTGAAAAATGCTGATGACCCTGTAATGAGATAAAAGAGTAAATGAGCATTGAACAGGTTGGACCTTGATGTCAGCACCACCAGCAAGATTATGAATTTCCTCAACAGATGCAATAGTGGTGCCTTTAACCTCATTAAGTGAATCTCCTAAAGCCATTTCTTTCTCGTTTTGTTTGGCTGAGAAAGTTTCTTCAGCATTTGAACTAGAAATGTCTGCAGAAGCAACTTCTGTATGATCGGAAGGATTAGACGAAGAGGAGACCTGAACCTGTCAAAAACATAATAATATTTCTTCCTCCAATAAACAGGAGCAGAGTAAGACACTAAACTTCATAAATAACAAATTTAAATTTCAAACCGGATCAGTCTCCATTCTCCTAAATACGATACTGATCATCTGTGTCAACATTGCCTTTGATGTTGCTTGATTTATTGGACTCTTGCTGCACATTCAAAGCAGAACTTTTGAGTATGACCTTAATTTGGTTTGTTGTAACCCTAACAGATACAAAATTTACCTGTGGAGAGCAATATTATAGCAAACTCTGATAACTCCAAGCAAAGGTTCCCCATGGACTGCAATTAGGATTTAACAAAGTCATGAGATGGAACAAATATAGGAAAGAAAGAATAGCTAGCCCTCCAGGTTGTCACCATAGTTGCAGTGAAGTAACCTATTTAATGTCTTGGATAGAATAAAATATTCAGTAAAGCAAGATCTGAATGAGAATTTACTATCCTTTTATTCCATATATACTGTTCTGCCTTTGTACCGGAAAGGAAAACACGGTTAATTGTAATGCATAAGGGTAAGATATCAAGCTCCCCAAACTCTACTCTCTTTCTTTTCTTGTCTAATTTGAAGAACCATCTCAACAATGACTCAGTAACAATGTCCCTAGAAAGAGTAAAAGAACTTGACTCATACAAACAAGTTAGGAAAAATAAGAAGTCCTAACAAGAAGTGAAAAATAATTCTGAAAATTATTCTGTCTTTCTTGTGTCTTTACTGGTAGTGGGTAATAGATCTAACTGAAGGTATTGAAGAAGATAGGTGATGTATGGCCTGGCATTCTATATCTTAGAGGAGCTCCTAATCAAGAGCCAGTGATTATGATGATGTGGCCACCTATCATCCTAAGCTCATTATCAGTCCCTCTCTCTTCATATAACAATAAAGAGTAAACCAGTACATGGAACGTGGCCTGATATAAAGGGAAGATAGACACAGAAATAACTAGAGAAATAGATGACTTCAATTCATCTATAACAATAAATAACACAAACGAATATCTGCAAATCCCAAACAATGTACCTCTGAATTTTGTGGATGCCGCAGAAGTAAGAAGCACCTTAAGCACTTGAAGTATTGTACTGCACATTAGTTTCAAAAATTAAATAGGCATCAAAGGTAGCATATGTTAGGAAATAGATTACTCACACACTCAAATATATACCTGTCTGGAGATGAATTATCAACACAACTGCAGACCATATTCAGGATCTCTGTAAATAGAGGAACATTCGTTCCACTATCTAAACCAGGATCTCCTTCCAAATGATCATAGGAAATTAGTTTCTGCAAACATGGAATTTGAGCAGATCAAATTAATTGATTTCTACACGGTAGAAGCATCAATTGGAAATTTGGAACATTGAACAAACAAAGAGAAGAGTTTTACAAGACAGATAACAGGATGGGAATCTTTTGAACTTACATATCTAATCTTGGTAAAGACTAGTCGGCAGAAAGAAAATGTTAAAAACAATAACTCAAGGAATAAAGAAAATCCTTACATGCAGACAATCCAAAGCAGGTTCAAGGATTTTCAAGTTCTTAGTCTCAAACGCAAGCCGAAGAGGATTCAAAACAAGCTCCACCTCAGCACCTTCCAATGTGTAACCAGCACTTGCTAAGGCAGTTGTCATGGTTCCACTCACAACTACTGGCTTACCAACATTCCCCTTCTCCTGGGCAGTTTGTGGAGCTGCGCTTGACCCATCTGTTTCAGTTCCACTTTTTTCCACGCCATTTTCAGTTTCAAGTGAACTACACATGAAATGATTCCAACGATATTACAAGACTTCTAGAGTTGTTAGAGAATCATTCATGGTCTCATCCCACTAGATAATATAGATTCAACTGTAGTTTCCAAATAGGCCTTTTATATTCTCAACTGCCAGAATAAACATATAAGTCCAATACCAGGCAAATATTGTAGCATGATTATATAAATAACATAGAATTAGACTAATAAACCAAAAGAATTAGAAATAAAGGTATCTTCAGTGAGGAAAAAGTCAAGTTGGAGAAAAAGATGAGAGCAGTGGAGTATGGATCATTAGTAAATACAGACCTTCCACCAACTGAAGATATTACTTGACTTGCTGAACTGGGTGGAGGGTGGTGTTTGACTTCCTTTGCACCATCTGAAGAAACAAAATAATATAATAAGCATCAAAGTAGATGATTGATAAGAGTAACCAAAGTTCATCCATCATGAAAGAGTTAAAAAAGATGAATGAAATTGAAAAACTAAAGGCAAATGCTGAAGCTACACATATTAAATGTATCAAAAAGTAGAAACCAAGAATCAAGCCCCTATCCCTACTTTTCTTTCAGATGGCATGTTTCCTTTAAACTGGAAAAGGGCATTTCCAACCTATAGAACAATAGGTAACAACAAGCAAAGCCCTAATTCAGATTTGTTGGACTAAAATTCATTTTGAACCTGCCCATAAAAACCTGTCAGCCATGAAAGTAATTCAGACTTAGATTGATCAGAAACTCAGTTAGAAATGGTCCCTAATCCAATAAAGAAGTTATCATATAATTTTAACTACTTGTACTAATTTTCTAATTACAAAACTGTAGCAAAGACTGCTCCCAAAAATCTAAAATTAAGTACAATAACAGTTCATTCAAGCTCATTTTTTAAGCTTATAAATAAATTTAAGCTTTATTTGCAAGCTCAGGTAGTTTAAAATCATAAAAAAAAGCCCCACGATCAGCTCATTTAGTGACTGGTTTGTTAGTCCAACAGTGAGACCATCCGTAAGTTTATTAACAAGCATGTTTAAGGGATATAAGGACAAAAATTTATTTAAATGATCTCAAGAGGTTTTTTTGTTTTTTTCAAAATCAGACACAGAATATTTTTATTTAGAATTAATTTCAATACTTTTATTTGGAATTTTTTAGAGTATTTCTATTTAAATAATAAAGTTAAAGCACGACCCTTAACCAAGTCTGAAGACAAACTTTTAACCAATTTCAGAACACACCCAAACTCAACTCAAGTTGGATAAATAAATAAATATAATATATATAAAGAAACCTCATCTCAGTTTTTGAAGGTTGAATCAAGTTCCAAAAAAGAGGTTCATAAACAAGCTTGAGTTTAAAAATGCCCAACCAGACTTGGCTATAACAAATTTGATCTGTACTCTAAAGGAAGCCATTTTAGCAAATAAATTACACACAATATTTTGTTTTCAGTTAAACACTAAAGACATCAAAATGCATTCAGAACCCACACACAATGCACCGAAAGATCAAAAGGTATGTCCATCCCATCTAGCATACACCTCTTGCATCTATCCAAGCATCCCCTAAAACTAACCATTTTCTAAAATATTTTGTTGTCAGTTATTCAACATTCGCCAGCTCGCTTAGCCATCACAGAAATTTAAAGAATCTAATTTCACCAAGCACACAACTATCAAAGAGAGACACAGTGAAGTCTAAGATTCCAACTAATGAACCAAAACCTAACAAAGTCCAATACAACACTTTCCTGAAATTAAATATAATCAAACTCACTGGAAGAAGGACGATCAACACGATCATCCAGATGAAGAAATGCAATGCAGTACGAATCATTGGCATTTTACCATGCACAAAGCCATATAAGATCTTCTTACCTAAGTACGCCTGAATTGACTTCTGAAGATCGGGATACTTCTTTCCGCCACACTCTTTGAGAATCGACTCGAATGCTCGACTCACGAATCCACCGGCAGCCATTTCCCTTCTCCCGTAGCTATTTCTCACCTGAAACTCAAATCCATACAAAATGAGAAAGAGCAACCGAATGATATGGAACCAGAATACCAGATCGCCGAGAGAATTGCCCATGGAGAGCAAAGAGAAGTGTCATACTGAATTGGATTCGTTGACGGAGAAGCAGGAATTAGCAGAAACAGTTGGGAATCATAAAGATCTGGAAGAAGGAAGTGAGCAGATCTATTCTGGTCTCCTTGGCCACTTGCGCGGAGCTCGGGCGAAGCTCGGGTTTGATTGAAAGAAAACTAAGGCGTCGTCATGGAAGGAACCTGAAATTTAAATTTCGAATTTCGACCATAATATTTTTTCATTTTGCATTTTGCCCCAATTGATGGACCCTACGGTAAGATAGGAGTATTATTTTAGTGGTAGTTATAATTTTCACCTTTACTCTTTTAAAAATCAAAATATTATTAATTTTAATTTTGTGTAAATATGGATAAATGGTAATTATTAAAAATAAAAAAATAA